GTGGCGATGAGGTCTTCAAATGTATGGAAAGGGTCCAAAGATCCAAATATACTTAAAGTTCCAAAAATTCTTAAAGTTCCAAAAATACTTAAAGTTCCAAAAATACCGTAAATTCAAACAAATACTTAAAGTTCCAAAAATAATTAAAGTTCCAAAAATACCGCAAATGGTTGGAAGATAAGGAGGAAGGACAATCAATACTGTATATAGTCAATGTGAGGTAAAGTGTGTCGCCAAGGTAACCGGTTGGAACTCAAAGTGGCGATGAGGTCTTAAAATGTATGGAAAGGGTCTTAAAAAAGGTCTTTCATGTGACTTCAGGATTCCTGCATATACCCTGTAGATATATATATGTGTTGCCACTTTAGGGACTTCTCATGTCTGCAGGAACACAACCTTCCCCTGGTTTAGGGCCATATATGCACAATATGAGCATCGTTTTAAAATGAAAGGAATACGAGAAAGTTAAGTGTCATGATATTACCTTCTAAACAAAAGCCATTAGTCGTATCACTTTGCTTCTTGTTGTATTTTCTACTTCTCTATCATTCCTCCTACACCGCCATATCAGCTTTAAATGGTTTCTTGTTTACTCAGAGCGTCATTATTCATTTCATTTGTATTCTCTGACATTACAACTGCGTCTCAGAAGGACTGTAATGACGGCTGCAGTAAATGATATTTGGCCATGTTGAATTTCTGAGTTTGACCCTCTGCCTAACGGAGCTGCTTTCTCTCTGCTCGGATGTTCTGCGTTATTGAACAAAATGATTGTTTGCACTTGACAAAGCTTAAGGAAAGTACGTTTTCTTTTCTCCTGCTCGTAGGCGGGAAAGCAGCAGGATAACTGAGGAACCCAATATTACCCACTGTCTCAGCAACAATGATGAAACACACTGTAAATATGATTGTTGTAATCTTAACTGAATCTCTTAACGAGTGAAATTCAGAGCTATGCGGGATATTAATTATCCCCAATAACTCAATATGCTCTGAGGGAAAGCTAGTGTAACATTCTCCCTGCAGGAAGGGTTTATTAATAATGATTCCTCACATCTCAGTGTGAGTGGATTACTATTAATACACTTAAACATCTAACCCCTAAAGGGAACGAAACCAAAACCTCAAAACTTGGTGACACGTTTTCTTATTTATAATCAAAACAATGTGTTGGACATCTCAACCGTTGAATTTGCCCGTTGATAAAACCTGGCAACAGCATTGTAACAGCATACTGATGCATTTATGAATCAAGATACTTATATATCTTTACAGCTACACCTCCAAATGAACATGCATTATACCCAATTGAACTTCACACTACCCTTTAATACCATATCATTTGAGAGAGTTGCCTGCGAAACAAATTTCCCAAAAATGACTGCAATTTTGGATTCTTCTGTTGGTCATAGTTGCATTGAAATGGTGGGAAAACCTTTGTCAGACTAAAAGAAAGCTTATTTACAGACAGAAAACTAACCATGATATCAAAATATGATATTCATTTTATATTTGTATACCTTTTATTTTGTTACAAGGCACATCTGGGTAATGAAACATCAACAGAAAGAAGCAGAGCTGTTGGCTGTGGATGGATTATATTAGTTATTTCCGCATAAAATATCTTGAAATAAATGTATTGACCCATCAGGATTTATATGCCGCAGGGTTTCCTTGTGTCTTTAATTTCAGAAGTAAAAGAACAGAAAGCTTTTACCTTAGAGAACTGCCAAGGACACACCA